GGGGCGGGCAGCACCCGGCCGGCTCCTCTCCCTGGCCCCGGGAGCAGCTGGGGGACCCCCGGGCCGGCATGCACCCGCCCGGCCCTGGGAAGCGCTGCCGGTGCCCAGAGGGGCTGCTGCCATCCCGGGAGCACCACAGAGCCGCTCTTGTTCTTTCCTCTTCAAGTGCCTACAAGAGGTTCAGTGAACTGCTGCCAAAGCAGGAGCGGGAGAACGCCTGCTCCGCGCGGGTTCCCAAGAGCCACATCCTGACGCTGCCTGAGCTGCGGGTACGGTGCCTGGCACACACAGGACGCTGCTACTCCTGGGTGGGGGCATGTTTGGGCAGGGCCTCGGTTTACCCACCACGGCCTCACCGTGCCAATGCTCTGCCCTCAGCTGTGCCCACAAACAGCTTCCTCGTCCCCAGTGAGCCGCTGAGGATCCCAGGGATCCCCGTGGTGCATCCCGGGAGGCACAGGACAGGCTCAGCTGTGCTGTGGGTGCCGCACTGGTGGCAGAGTGGGGCACTTGCTCAGCTGCTGGAGCAGCAGCCACAGCCGGTGTGTGCAGGAGGGAACCAGCCCAGCCCAGCCCTGCCTGAGCCGTTCCTGTGTCCACAGGCAAACCCCTTCCAGCACCGGATCTGCCATGTGTTCTCCACCTCGGAGGCCGGGGACAACAGCATGTCCTTTGAAGACTTCCTTGATATGCTGAGCGTCTTCAGTGACTCTGCCACCTTCGACATCAAATCCCACTATGCCTTCCGCATCTTTGGTAAGGCTGGGGGCTGCTGCTGTCTCCTGGGGTCCCCACACCTCAAGGAAGAGGGGATGGGGGATGAATCCATGTTCAGGAGGGCTGCCCATGGGGACGGTGGCTTCAGGAACTCCCTGTGGGACTGGCTGTTTTGGCACAGTGATGCGCACGAAGCTGTGCAGTGCTGGTGCTTGTGACTCTCTGGGGTCTCTGTGGCCCTGCCAAAAGGTACCTTTCCTGTCCCCACAGACTTTGACGACGATGGGACTCTGGACAGGAAGGACCTGGAGCAACTGGTGAACTGCCTGACGGGGCAGGGCGAGGAGTCCCGGCTGAGCAGGGCGGAGATGGAGCAGCTCATCCAAAACGTGAGCGTGTCGGGCAGGGCACGGACACTGCACGGCCCCAGGCACAGAGCTCACCATCCCTTTCCCCCCAGATCCTGGAGGAGTCTGACATCGACAAGGACGGCACCATCAACCTCTCCGAGTTCCAGCATGTCGTCTCCCGCTCCCCAGACTTTGCCAGGTGCGGTGGTGCCCAGCAGCACAGCCTATCCCGGGGCCTGTCTGGGGGTTCATTGTCCCAGTTGCTGAGCTGGGGCAGAGCTCATGGTGGCAGGAGGGCAAGGCTGCCCTGTGCCAGGTCTGCCATAATGGCAGAGC